ATATTCAGAATTCTAAAACAAACACAATCTTTCGCTAAAGCCATAAATAATCATAGTGTAAATGTTTGGAAAAAAGAGTGGGACTTGTTCTCCTGGGCAAAACTGAATTCAACCCTACAAACCCAGTTCTTACCTCTTCCTACTTTATTCCCCATCCCTGACAATAACAAGGGATTAACTTGACTCACTGAGTGGCTTCACTGAAACCTCAAACAATTTATCCGACAGGTAGATTTCAATGGGAAATCTGATTCAATTTCTAAAAGCTCTGGAGGGGATGCTACGGTCAACCAAGCTGAAAGCACAATGCTTTTAAATGCCTCAAGCACAGATTAATATAATAACTATTGGCACAAAGAGACAATAATTTCTCACCCCCCACATAAAAGCACAAACAGTCATATGAAAGCTCACTTCTTCTAAAACATATTTCAGTTGTATATCAGGTTTACCGTATTTTTCACTCTATAAGATGCACCTGACCATAAGACGCACCTAGTTTTTAGAGGAGGAAAACAAGAAAAAAAATATTCTGAATCAAATGGTTTACTAAACTATTTAATAAACTATAACAGAATACAGCAATACCGTATTTCAACCTTGTAAAGTAAACAGCAGTCAACAGTGGCATTAAGAACCATCATCACTGTCATTAACAAAAGAGAGACTTTAAAGTTCGAGTACTCTTCTAGTTTTCATTGAACCCATAGAACTCATCATCACTAGAGTCAGAATTTATAAAGCGCTGTTGCTCACAATCACTGACATCACTTTCTTAGTCAGTAGTGGAATTACTGAAGGAATCCACAATCTACACCAGTTATACAAGAGCTGCTGCAGACAATTCAATAACAAATCTAAAAGCCAGTAATGTCCACGCTGCCCTACTAGTAAATAATAGAAAAAAACTTCTGACAAAAAATGAAATATTGTACGGTAAATCAAACACACAGTGGACTAAGTAGCCTTTGAAGAATAAACTTCATACACGAAGGTAATGCTGTTCAAATACCCACTGATCCTAAAAAAAATGTGTCTGATCAACTAACAGATAACTGATTCATGGAAAGCTTCCTGATAATCACAGGCACGTTCCCCATCACTTCCCCATGGGCTTCTTTAAAAGACGGGTTGCCATTTGAAAACACACACCGACCTGTGATTAACAGCTCTCACCTGCGCCGGACAAGGGGGGCGGAGCAGGGCGCACCGAACGTGCGCTGGCCAGGTGGTGCCACGTGGGGCCGGCAGTGTGCCAGCAGTGGTCTTCCGGGCAGCGCGGCGGCAGGTCTTCCCGGGAGGTGGGGGTGAGCAGTTCCCGGGCGGTGGGGGTGAGCAGTCCGTCTCTCCGTGCAGCCAGCGGGTTAAAGCCTGCGGCTCCTCCTCCTCCGCACCGCTCCCCCTGAGTTACACAGCTCTCACCTGCGCCGGAGGAGGGGGCGGAGCAGGGCGCGCCGAGCGCATGCCGGCCAGGTGGTGCCACGTGGTGCAGGCAGGCCGACAGCGTCCTGGGCGTCAGGCACACACACATTCGCTCTATAAGATGCACAGACATTTCCCATTACTTTTGAGGGGCAAAAAAGTGCGTCTTATAGAGCGAAAAATACGGTGAGTGGAATTTGTATGTGGAACCATCACATCTGGGCTTCACATCTGAACCATCACAATAGTTACAATGAATATACAATGTTTCAGTGTCAGTAAGTCAGATCGGAATAGTTAGCATTTGTTTAGTGCTTTGCATGCTTTATCCTGCTCTAATCCTTGCAATTATCCTTACAATCCTTACAATACAAGTCAGCATTATCCTCAAATTGTATGGAGGAGCTAGATGGAAAAGCGCTTACCTCAAGCAACCTTTCGAGTTTACAGCAGTGGCAAGAGTCAAACCAGTTTACAGCCAAAACGATCTCCTCATTTAGGCTATAATGAAGGTGTTAATCCAAGAGCTGACAATCTGATGGCTTCCAGATGTTTTGGATTTCATTTTCCATACAAAACCACTACTATGGCTAATGGTTGGGAATTGTAGAGCAAAATATCTGAAAGATATGAGGTTGCCTACTTATGTTTAAGGCCCAATGGAAAGCCTGTGGCCTTCCAGATGTTGCTGAGCTTCAGCTCCCATCATCCCTGAGCACTGGCCATGTTGGCTGTGGTTGACGGGAGTTGGATGCACCATAGCTGAAGGGCCACATTGTTGTTTTTGGGTACCAGAGGATTTCTGACACAACAGGCCAATCACACTAAAAGTTATCACAAATATTTTTAAGAGATCCAATTCCATTGCATCAATTTATTTCCCAAATGCCTGCAAAGCTTGATGGGTACCTATAATGCCTAGCCATACCCAAAGATTTACACTTTAGAGGCAGAAATCATTAAGGATACTTCTACTACATTCTGTCAACCTGCAGTTAGTCCTGAGAGCTAAAAGCAACCTGAATGCCTTTGGATATGGAAGATGGCATTTCTGAAGTAAGCCCTATGGATAACAAACAAACCTGATTATAAACAGGCAGGATGAAAGTGATTGTGAGCTACAGTGGCCTTAAATCATGGATGCTGCACAAATCACAAGGAAACTGCATGCCAGGGGGAAGGCTGGAGGAAAGCAAGGGAGAATTACACCTTCATTGGGATCTTCACCTGGGAATGGAAGGATGACAAGGAATGTTCCATGAGGAACAGGAGCTGTGATAGTTTCTTTGGAATGGAAGTGCAGCACCTGTTTTGGAGCATGTGGAGAATGGAAGCTTTGGGGAGAATGGGAACCCCTCACCCCACAACATGCAGCTGCAATGAAAATATGGCCACAAGATTCAAGAAATGAGCAGATGAAAGTACCTGGGACTCTCTGGAGGGGGCAAGGCCTCCTTTGGAAAAGCAGGGGGAAGCCCTGGAATGAGGCAATGTACCAACGGAATATGAATGTGAATGGAAAGTGGTGGTTCTGGGAAGGAAAATTAATACCAGCTTCCCCCAACCTGGTGCCCTCCATAAAATTCATAAGCATGCAGCAGGAAAAGTCCTGATGAAAAAGGATCAACAAGGCTGCCACAAAAGCTAAGTCCCATATTGCAGAGCTCTATGACAGTGTCAATAAGCAGACAGGGGAGAACAAGTAGATATTTTTCCTTGGATTTTGAAAGGCCTTTGACAAAATCCTTCACAAAAGACTCCTGAGCAAATGTAGCAGTCATGGAATAAGAAGGGGGTTCTTCTTATGGATCAATAACTAGTGAAAAAACAGAAAGCCAAGAATAACTGATAAATTCTCCCAACCAAAGGAGTGAGATCCCATAAAGATCTGTATTGGGACCAATGTGCTTCAACTTATTCGTAACTGATCTGGAATTTGCTGCTGGAGTAAGCAGCAAAGTGGCCAAGTTTGCTGATGACAAGAGAAAGGCAACTAAAATGATAAAGGGGCTGGAGCAACCCCCTCTGTGAGCAAAGGTTTTAATATCTGGGACTGCTCAGTTTAGAGAAGAGGTGAGTATGGGGCAGTGTGTCAGAGATGTACAAAAAGGTACATGGTATGAAGAAAGTGTATAGGGAGATATTGTCCTTTCTTTCATATAATATTAGAACCTGTGGTCATCCCATGAAGCTGACTGGTGGGAACTTCAAGGCAGAACACAATGCACATTTAAACTATGGAATTCACCACCCCAAGGTGTAGTGATGGCCACCAATTCAGATAGCTTAAAGGAGTTTAGACATATTCACAAAGATTAAGGTTATCAGTGACTACTATTCTCTATGGCCAAATGGTACTAGTGGTATCAAAGGGAGCAGTGCCTATGCACACCTGTTGCTGAGGAACAGGGGTGGGAGGGTATCAGTGCATTCATGCCCTGCTTCTGGGTCCCCATGAGCAGCTATTGTAGACAGAATGCCGGACTATCTTTTATCTGGTGTGGCTTTGCTTTTCTGATGTTCTTCCAAGGCAACCAGAATAATGGGAATTATAGTCCAGAATTTCTGGGTGGTGCCAGGCTGGTGAAGGCTCCTCTGTGCCCTTTATTCTACTGTATTGTCCCCCTGCACAAAAATCTTGGTAGGTGCTAATTGCTAAGGCCATTGATGAGTCCCAGGAAAAGAGGCAGCACTTTATCCCAGGAGCCATGCTGCAACAATACCTTCCACTCACACTCCCAACCTCTCATTTGGCATCCACTTTAACATCCACAGTCTTGTTAGTTGGTATCTTTTTTATTGCAACCATTATAAATAAAAATACTTCTGGACTAAACTTTTGCTTTGCAATGGCCCTTCTTCATTCATGGGATACTACAGGGTATCCTGATGCCATCAACTTCTATTTCTGTTTGTAACCCACCCCTTGTCTTCCTGCAGCCACATCCTAAGGTATTTTATTTTGAAATGCTTACAATGCTTAATGTAAGGTAGTCCAGGATCACTATCACAGATGGGAAGCCTGGTTTGTTAGACTGAGGGCATCAAAGATGGCAAAACTGCCCGGGTGAGGAAATTCTCCAAATTCACAGCTTAGTCTCTTAGGACACGAGTGTACCCACGTTCATGCAAAAAACAGCATTTTCCCTGTCTGAAATACACATAGGATTGGGTGTTCAGAATGCCTACACTAGCATGCATAGTGCTACTTGCCAAAGCCTTGGCCCTTTCCTCCTTCATCTTCTGTGCCATGTCTCTGGCTGGCCTCAGCAAAGTGCAGGAACTGTATTCTATCACTCATGTCTCTTTTGTGGGAATCCTAGTAAGTACCTCTTATTTGCAATGACGACCCCCACCCCCCAAGCCAAGATCTAATTCCTTGGGCAGGGAAAGGGCATGGATACTCCTTCCAGGTCTCCAGGAAGCCTCTAACGGCTGCTGACTGGCAGCATTTCAACAGGTGAAGCGACTGCTCCAGCCACGGGAAAAGCTTCCCCTACTGGTCGCCTGGCTGTCACCGCTTTCTAAAGGGGAAAGCTAAGCGCCACTGCAGGTAAGCTGCCTAAGGATGTCCTTACCGGCAAAGTTCTTGGTGAAAACCAGCGTGACCAGCAGGATCGGGATGAGGACAGTGCCGATGGTGACCACGCGGTCGAAGGGCAGTTCGAGTTTCAGCTGCAGCAGCAGAGCCGCCAGCGAGCCCGCCTTGTCGTCCTGCTGCCCAGGCAGGATCAGCTCCTTGAGTTTCTCCCCAGCCAGCAGCGCCGTTGCCATGTCCGGATGGTTTTCGATGATGTGTTGCATAAGCGGCGGCGGCGGGGGGGGGCGGCTAGCACTCACCGGGCGCATGCAGCAGCTGCAGCAGCAAGGAAAGCTTGGCCGTTACCTGGCCGAAGATCCGGAGCCAAGCCTGGGGGGATGAGAACAACATCCGAGGAGACCAATGAAAGCGCCCGCGCGGTGGTGGGAGGAGGAGGACGCGGCCCGGGCTTGCTAATGGCAGCAGAGGCCCCATCTTCTGTTGCACAAGGGCACGGTCCCTGGGGAGACTGCGGCAATGGGGCCAAGGGGCTGCCCTTGGCATCGGCCGCCGCCGCCGCCGCCGCCGAGCTGCGCTCCCGCACTCCCGCGCTCCCTTCTCCTTCCCCGGGCAACGATCGCGCTAAGCGCCATGCAATCGACACCGCGGGCCGGGCGGCCAGGCTGCGACCGAGAACGGGGCAAGTGGGGGAAGAGAGTGATTCGAATCGCCGCGTTAAACCGAATCAAAGCTTGTATGAAAATGCCATCGGCGTATAATCGAAAAGCAAGCAAACAAACAAACCCTATATGGGGGACAGAAGAAAAGAACCCCAACACAAAACAAAGCAGTAAACATGTAATCGGAGCTCTGTTGGGGAATCAAAAGCCAATCGGAGGCAGCAGGCGGTGAGAGACAGGCTCGCTGGAGAGAACGAGAGTCGTCCTATTTAGTTACCTTGGTGAAGTTTTTTGGGGGGCGGGGAAAGGAGGCTCTCCTGGTTCCAAAGCTGAGGAAGAAGCGAAAGGATGACTCGCCAAAACAAGAGGTAAGTATGAATGCGGCTGGATGGAAAGACGCCGGCCTTCACATAGTCCACTCGATCCAAAGGGGAGCCTGCCTTTCCCGCCCCCCCCCACCTTAAATACGCTGCTGTTACTTCACACAGCTCCGAAAGAAAATAAGGGAGAGACGATTTGTTTAGGATAATTATTCGGGCTCTTGCACAGGATTTTCATCGGCTGCTGTCGCTGCAACGTGCAATTAAAGGGGATTTGCTGTTGCTGCAGTAATAGCAGGAAAACAGTCGAGGAAGCCCCACAGGAATGAAATTGCTTGAATGCAGTCAAGAGAGGTCCTTTCAGGTCTTCGGTTAAACATCTGGAATTGCAGGAGGAGGAGGCGGAGAGGCGGGCTTGGGGGCTTTGCACCGAGAGGGAGCAGCGGCTGCAGACATCACAGCAGAAGCTGCAGAGTCACCCAATGCAACACGTTGCGACTCGAGCGGCGAGAGCCAACGGCTGGGCCCCGTTCTTCGCCTGTTGTTGCAAAACACTTCCCAGGAACGGCTGGGCGGCAGCGGCGGCGGCGGCATCATCAACTCTGGCGCTTGCTTCGCCGGCTGCTCACCCGATTTTAACCTGGCGACCTCAGAAGCTGCCAGCAAGTCCTCTGAGAAGGCGTCCCTGAGGTTGACCAGGAAACCTGTCTCCTTGCCTTGATGTAAGCGGGCGGAGAAACGCGGGGGCGGCAGCTGCTGCTGAGGAAAGATCGTTAATGCAAACCCAAGGGGAGATTTGTGTTTGTTGGCTGGCAGTTCGTTCCTCCCCCTCCCACCTAGTTCTGGCAGCGGGGCCCTCGGCAAAACCCACACGAGATTCATTGGGATTTGTGCCCGTGTGCTATGCAAGTGTGCACAGATCTGTGTTTTTAGGACACCATTAGAAAGCTAGCAAATTATTCCTTCTGCAGCATTGAAGTGTAGACAGAAACCTCATGCAGATCTGGGCACCGGTTGCAAGAGCTGGTACTGAGGTCCTGGGCCCTGAAGCCCAAGGGGCCACCTAAATGTTCAAGAAATCTAATAGGCTTGGATGAGTTTAAATGTCCAAGAATCTAATCCACGGATTCTGTAATAGACAAGCTATTCCTAAATTGCATACTTTTCATAGATTAATTTTTATGTATGTAAAATTACATAGAAAATCACAGAAATTTAGTTTTAGAGGAATACCTAAAAGAAAAAGCAGCAATGCATTTCCGTCATGGGCTAATATATGAAGATACACATGGGGGGGTGTTGAGTATTGTTTGGGGATTTGTGCTTTCTTGTGTTTGTGCAAAAGCATATGAATTCATTTTTGCAGAATCTGTTTCCATCAATGAGCAGCCAACAGAGGGAAAAGCACTTAATCTGCAAAACATAGATGGGATGGATTTTACAATGGCCATACATTCCTATCCCCAAATGATTGCCCAGGGAGCTGTAGTCGATGAGGAAGGGCAGCAGACACTCTGTTTTTACAGTCATAACAATGCTGTGATTTGAGTTTAAAATGCAAAACCTCACATGCGCAGAGTATTTCTTTTTTTAGCAGAGTTGACAAGCAGCTTTGCTGCTGCTAATTGTTCTGACCAATTAGGAATATAGCAGCTGTTTTGAAGTATGGAATGATGGGATGGGCAAAGTTAGTTTCATGTTTCCCAAATGAAGTAATACAGGTTGTCATCTAGAGGAGGTCTTGCTAAGATCCTTAAGTATAGGGTCTGAAATGACCTGGCTGCTCCATTAAGGGCTGATTTCATGTGCTTCTCAATGAACAGCTCCCAGCACTGTCAACTAAAAGATATGGTGTTCCTACAAGCGATTGCGTTCAACTGTGCTGCCTCACTTGTCACTCCAAAGCGGGTGGGGGGATGATTTGAAAAGACTGGACGTTTCTTGACAAACAAGGTAAGATTTATTCCAAAATCCAGAAAACAGAATGCAAGCTTGTGGGTGCCGAAAGGGGACAAAGAAAATGGGAAGAGCCATAGCCTTTATACAACCAGCAACCATTAGATAATTCGTTCCCTGATTGGTCAGAAGATGCTGTGATTTGCACATGCTCAGCAGTACTCCATGTAAGGCATGGAGGGGCAACAATCTCAGTGATTGGTTCACTTTGCTACAGAGACGGTCTGGAGAGATGGGCGGTTCTCGGGGTTCTTGGCTCCCACACTCACTGCCTTATCCTTCCTGGTTAATTGCAAAAGCCAGTCATAGGATTGGTCCCTGGGTCCAGGAGGTCATCAATGCCTCACTGAAGGAGGGCCAGGTCCCTGCCCCTTTAAGGGAGGCGGTGATCAGACCCCTCCTGAAGAAAGCGTCCCTGGACTCAGAGGTGGCCGTCAACTATAGGCCGGTGGCCAACATCCCGTTCTTGGGCAAGGTGTTGGAGTGGGTGCTGGTGGGACAACTCCAAGCACTCTTGGATGAAACTGATTATCTGTACCCATTTCTGTTCGGCTTCAGACCTGGTTATGATACTGAATTTGCCTTGGTTGCCCTGTACAATAACCTGTGCAGGGAGAGGGACAGGTGGAGTGTGTCCCTGTTGGTTCTCGTGGATCTCTCAGCAGCTTTTGGTACCATCGACCATGGTATCCTTCTGGATAGGCTGGCTGACTTGGGAGTAGGAGGCACTGCGTGGCAGTGGTTCCACTCCTATCTGGCCAGTCGATTCCAGAAGGTGATGCTGGGGGACTATAGCTCTGCGCCATGGCAGCTATGCTATGGAGTACCGCAGGGCTCTATTTTGTCCCCCATGTTCTTTAACATCTACCTCCTTGTTCTGAATGTTACTTGCCCTCTGCAAAAGCAAAGTCATGCCATAGCTCATTCTGCATATTTCCTTGAACATTACAAGTGGTGTTACTTGGAACAAATGTAAAACAAACATGTAACTTGCAGACATTTTTCTGCTAAAGGCCTAAAGCCACCCACAGCACATTTGTGAACATGATCTGAATATAGACACTGTTGAGTCCAGCTCCAATTTGTTGTTTAGGTCACTGCTTCCTCATGTTTCCAGATCTTTTGTGTGTGTGTGTGTGTGAAAACTGAGGTGAGAAGGCACACAGCAGTTCAAAGACAGATGTTCAAATGAGTGCAACGTGATCACATTATTTTAACATCAGCTCAAGCCTGGGTGCAATTCAAAATGCTGGTACTAACATTCTATGCAGTAAATGCCTTGAGTCAAGGATCACCACCTCCCATATGTACCTACCTGGACCCTGAGATTATCTTTAGGGATCACTCTCCATTTCCAAAGGAAATCACTCTCCATTTCCACAGGTGGCTACCAGGGAGAGAGAGGGTCTTTACAGTTGTGGAATCCTGGTTGGAATGAGCTCCCCAATCAGGTTGGATAAAAATCAAGTTTCAAGTTTATTTGGTTTAGTAGCCCATAGGCCATAAACCATAATTTAAGAATTTAAAAATTTAAAAAGAATTTAAAAATACTATAACAAAAATTGTCACATCTGCAATAGTTTTTACAAAACCTGCTCAGTAGATTTAATCTTGCAGCATCAGGAAGGGTTGAATATTTCAGCAGCCAAGTGTGAGGAGGGAGAGGCTAGCAGTAAACATGAAAGTGAGCAGAATACTCAAGTCTTTGGATCTTTTTGTGTATAGCCTGAGGTTTATCGTATTATTCTTTCCCTGGAGAAGAAAGCCTATAATGGCAGCAGGCCATAAAAGAGACTCAGCTTGGGAATGTTTAAATTAAGTTCCTCTATACCTACAGTAAAGGCAGGCATGTGTGCAAGTTATGTTGAAAACCATGATTTAAATCCAGTCTTACTGACTAGTGATTTAAATCAATTTGTTCCTAAAAAGCTGTGCCTGGCACCTACTTTGCATTCCTTTTGGTGTCAGGTGAAAACCTTTTAATTCTCCCAGCATTTTAATGGTTTAACTTTTTATTCATTTATTTTTAATACTGCATTTTATTCTGGTACTGCTGCTATGCTTCTATACTGGTTCAATTGCTACTGGGATTCGATTTTATCTTGTATATGTTGATTTTATCTTGTAAATGTATTGGGGTCTGTGATTAAATATTTTCTTAACTTTTGTTTACTGCCTGGAGAGCCTCAGCTAATTGGGTGGTAGAGCAGTGAAATTAAATAAATACATAAGAAACATGGCTGTATTTGGTGATGTCAGAAATCTGTGGAAAACATTATGAAACTGTATCTTTTGCACTTATGAGGAATGTTTTTCTGTAAGAGCTTTGGCAGAACATCTGTACCAGATACCTTAATATGATTGTAAACAGAAGGTATATGCCTCCGTAGTCAGTGGATGACGCAGATTCTGTTGCTGAGGTGGGAAAATTGCTTAGATAACAGTCTTAATGTATAAAAATAGAGTTGCCTGAATGTTAACAAATTCTGCACCTGTATGTATACCCAATGCAATTCCGCTAACAGATACCATCCAGAGCCTAGAACCTGCAATTCTGGACTTCTTCTTGTGAAAAGTCCACAAGTATATTCCCATTCTTTTCCAGGGGCATGCTTGAGGTCCAGCATATGGAAGGAAAATTCATGGAGTTGGAATCTGTGAGGATGCTTTGACAGGAAGAGAAAGCAAGTATTAGGTATGAATTTGTGACAGGTGCAGGCAGCTTAAACCTTCTGGCACTGGTGAAATCCTGTCCCTTTGTCTATGCTTCCAGTGTATGAAGAGGCAATATGGTGAGGGAGCCAGCAAAGGTGCTTAGGGTCATTCACAAGATCTCAAAGATCTACGAGCCTCTACTTAAAAAAGGAGACACGAGACAAAAAGCAGTGAGCCCCTGCATCCTGGGGTGAAAGTAAAACACATTTTGGTGAGGAGATAGGCTTTGCTGATGTACTTTTTAAGATGGGCGGGAAAACAAATTCCACCAATGATGGTGGTGGATGGATGCTTTAATCACTGAGTTAAGAGGAAGAATCTTATGCTCATTAATGACATAACTGCTGGAGACAACTGTTTGCCATTGTGCTTCCTAGCCAAAGAAAGATACAGAAAACCTTGGAAAGGTTTTACACCAGGGAGATTATTTATTAAGTTGTGTAAATACATCTGCTACATCAGCTAAGATTGGTTCACTTTTTATACTTTTATCATCATTTTTACTATCACATATACAAGGCCACAAGACTGACCACAACATGCAGAAAACCTTAATCCTATTTGTGAGTTTTACAACATAGATATACAACAAATTAATTGTAATGCAACATACTTTTAAGTCATGCTCCTTTAAACAACTGTGAAAAAAGTTCTGAATCTGCTACTGAACAGCCCGCTATCGGGTAGCATAACCGTCCCTTTTAGGCACATCTGTTGATAAAGAAAATGAGACAAGTGATAAAGCAGCATGAATTGACATCTTGTTACTAAACACAGTGTTTTAGATAAACAAATTACATCCAGAAAGCTGAGAATAGTATCTATAACCAAAGACAACACAGAATGTGTTTCTTTAAGGTTTATATTCCTGGTTGTGAGCCACCCAGAGAGCCCTCAGGCTGTAGGGTGGCATACAAATGCAGTAAATAAATAACTTACATAGCTGAACAGCTTTAATAATAACATTCTTTTCCTAGAGAACCTAGGAACTGCAGTGCTGTGAGGGGGCAAAATTTTCAGCATGCATCATTACATCTATCACTTTGATATCTACATAATAAAAAACATACTTTTACAGATGTAGTGGATTATCATATGGCTCTAAGCTCACCTATTTTTGGTACACATTGCCACAAGGTGACTTTTGCAATCTGTCGAAGCTCTACAAAAGCTCTAAGACGGATGCTTTTTTATTGGCAGAGCAATTGGCAGAGGGTAGGGAGAAAGGAGAAGCCATGGCAGAAGATTAACCACAGCCAAAATCCTGAGTTAGCACAAGCTGGGAGGTAAACACGTCTTCCTAAGGGGACACTGGAGGGCTTGGGTTCTTTTGCCGTGATCATCTGGGCAGCAATGCAGTAAGGTTTCCATGCCCACAATAAGGTGGGCAGGGACAGGCCTCTCTTGTGGTGGGGCAGAGAGTCTCTCCATCCTGTGTCCCCTAGGATACTGACCCTGCAGAGAGCACTCCCTCATACACACACATACACACACACTTGCACAATATTTTAAAATGCAACCACGGTAAGCTTTTTCTTAAACTTTTTATACCAATTATAGACAAAATAAGTATACTGATCTATAAATATTCACTTCTTCCCCTCAACAACAGTGCTTAAAAGACACTCACACTCTTTGATTTTCTAGTTCTTCTGGTAGGTTACAGCCAATGTAAACTCCATTTGCCAAACTGTACTCCAAGAGGGCATTAAAGCAAGGATCCTGACCAAAGCAAGAAAGATGGTAAAATCCTTACTATTTATGCTTTTAAAAGAATCAAGGGATAGTGCACCATTTGATCTTCTTACAGTACTTGACAACAGTAGGCCTAAACAGAAATACACATTTAGGCCATTATGTGCAGCTAGATTTCACATAAGGATGTGTTAGGAAATTGGCATTATGAGCTGGACTGCATCAAGCATATTTTAACCTGATTTGCAATACCCAAGAAATAGCAGTCAAAGGATCTGCTCTTTAAATGAGCAAATATGCTTTTGTTCCTCAATCTTTGCTAATTTTTGGAACACTGATGCAACTTTATTAGAAAAAAGGCAAAACGGAAATCACTCAAGTTTTGCTGATCTTTGGAAATCATGATTTGGTAACCCTCTAAGACTATACAGCAGCTTTCCTAAAGGCCCTGAAAGTTTGCAATGAAGGAGTCCAAGATAAGAATACTTTTCTTAGTTCTTGTTTTTAAGAAGCATGCTTAAGCTGGTCAGATGACTGAGGACACCATCTTGTTAATTGGTGAATGGGATGGAGAAGCAAAATAATTCCCCTGCAAATCATTTTATATTTTATCTGCTTCCATATTATTCTGCATAATGATGCAATGTTACTTTCTAATATTAAGTCATGCTATGTTTTGCTATTAATTTAAATATTGTTTATTTTCCCCATTTTATACTACCAAATAGCTAAAGCATTCTGGGCATTCATAACAATTAACTATTATTATTATTATTATTATTATTATTATTATTATTATTATTACATTTCTATGCCGCCCCTTGCGGAAACCTCAGGGCGGCTTACAACATGATAAAATACATTGAAATACAATAGTACATAATAAATTACCATTAAATATAAAAATACAAAAAATACATTGATTTACAAATATAAAATTAAAATTATCAGTATAAAATAAAAATATAGGGGGAGAAAGAGAAGGAAGAAGAAGTTGCCCTGGCCAGATCATATGTTTTAACAATTGAAATGATGTTTAAATAAAAAGGTCTTTACCTGGCGCCGAAAAACCAGTAACGACGGTGCCAGGCGGACCTCTTTGGGGAGTGAATTCCATAGGTTGGGCGCCACCACAGAGAAAGCCCTCCTCCGGGTACTTACTCTCCTAATTTCTTTCATGGAGGGTTCCCGGAGAAGGGACTCTCCCGCAGATCTCAAAGGGCGGTCGGGCATATACGGACGTAAGCGCTCGTTCAGGTAGCCAGGACCCAAGCCGTTTAGGGCTTTATAGGCCATAATCAACACCTTGAATTGGGCCCGGGCTTCAGTAAATGTTAATTTAAATAAATTCAGACATGAGGTCTCTCCAAAGACTGGGTGAGAATTCTACACAGCTTGTTCCTGCAGCAACCCAAGAGGAGCTGACACAGTGAAACCAGCAATGTGTGGCTAAAGCAGCAAACCATGAATTATACAGGTTTAATGTTACACGTGAAAATGATTGGGCAGCTTCCACCTATTTTTTTGGAGACTAACTGAATTAATGGGAATACATTTTTGTGGGGAGGGGGAGAGTGCAATCCAGAATTTAATCTAGGGCTCTGTGTTTTATTATATTGTTTTCCAGTGAAGTAGTGAAGGCTAAGACTGAGGCTCATGGCCAAGTGAACTGCAGAACCTAGCTTCCCCAAGTCTCAGTCAAACAAACTACACCACACTGGTTCTCACAGGTTGCCACAGAAGTTGATATTCCTGAGGAAACGCATTACAGAATAATAGCTGTACTACTCCGTAGTAGCAAGCAAAGAATCCTGAGGATTTTATATAGTGACAATGGGTATTAGAAATCCAGGGTGCAATCCTATGCCCATTCTGACCAAAAAAGTATTTTTTCAATCCAGATAAACATATAATTGTGCCTTTATGTATTTGTATTAGTCATTCCCTCTACCAGGGAAGCCTAGCAACTCCATTTTTGTGAGAATGGCTAAAAATCTCTAACAGATGCCTCAGCACTCTGACCAAATTAGAATTCTTAACATCCATCGGGGATGCCATGACAGCTTATGTTATAAAAAGAATTTTAAGCTTGTAGTGTGAAATTGCTCTAAACAAATTTATTGCCATATAAATGTCACAGCTAAAAGTTCACTTCATATAAAAAGCACATTCATCCTCAGTTGGAGGATCATGAATGTTCTTTTCTTCTTTCTCCTCTTGAAGCTAATATCCTGTGAGAGGACCAGTATTGTAATATATCATCATCATCATACGGCTGTGTGACTGTGACTTATGAAATATGACTTCCTGTAGCTGTATATCTATTGGACAAATAGTATGTTGTTGCTTTAAAAGACACACTCCATTTTGTGGGAAAGATACAAAGCAAGTCTTTCTAGGGCTAGACGGTATGTTTGTATTACCATAGCCACACACAAACCATGATAGTTCTTAGCCACTCAGGGCCAAGCCTATCATTAAGAAGGCAATGGTACCTTAGAGGGCATTCAGAGTGTGGCAAGGTGTTTCAGAATACAGCAGAGAATACAGCGGCTAGCAACAACAACAACAACAACAACAACAGGCAAATTCAGGCAGTGCAGGGACTATTTTTGCCTCCCCCAGACTCCTGCTGGCCACAGCCTTACATGCCCCAAATAGGACAAAGAGTTTTTAAATGGCATCTGTTGCAGTTGTAGGATGCGGTGCAGATGCATTTTGGCATCCCACCAAATTTTGGGGAGTGGCATGGTCTGCACTGAGGGACTTGTGCCCAGTCCCAATGAAAAGCACCAGCATGTTAACTTTTACAGTGATATTCAAATTCGGCACAGGCAATGTGTTATCTACTTCTGTGAAATGAACCTTCTAATGTAATCAAACCAACATGAATTAGATAGTAATAATGTTATTAAGAATAATAATACAAGTCTTACCTTGACAAGCACATGAGGATTTCCTACTATAATGAGTAATGCCTTGGGTCTTGTAATAGCCACATTAAAGCGCTTCGAATTTGCAAGGAAGCCTAAAAAGTATTTTTCATCTTTGAATGAAGTTTCATTTGACCGGACCTGGAATACAAGCAGTTAAGTGCTAGGACTTTATCAATACAACTGTTGATAGTGTGGATATAGAATCCCACCCTTTTTGTACAGCCAAGAACTATTGTAGTGTCTTGTATTAGTACAGGCATCCAACCTTGTTAGAGCCCAGCTTGTGCTGCACAACTGTAACTTGGTGCCTATGTAAAACCAAAGGTTGCTGTATGTGTCTGGCTGGAGCAGTTGCAAGCACTTCTGACCAGAAGTTTCAAGTCTATAATGCCCCATTCTGTTCCACTGACTTTTCTAGAAGTACTGGAATGCAAGCATAAAACCAAGCAATTGAGGTCCAACAGCAACAGGGGTTGCAGCAAAGCAGCTTATCTAAATCTGGTGGCTCAAAAGAAATCTGACACCAGGATGTATACTTTAAAAAGAAAAATGAAAACCTCAAAGAGTGAAATCAATCTGGGTAGCACTGTAAGCCTTTCTTGAATGAAAAAGCCTTATAAATCAGCACAATAAAAGGAATGAGAGATGGCAATTTAAACAAAATAACACTCAAGCTGTACGCTTCTGTGGGAGTCAGTTTCGTTGTGTACACTGAAGCCTGCACAGGGGGAAGCAGGCAGAGGATTGTGTCGTGCGTCATATGCCTGCTTAACCTCTTCTGGCAACTACCATTTATGCCATTTTCTATGAGCATCTTCTGCTTCTTTAGCTTTTTTGCTCCTGGTCCTACTTTTTGACTGCCACTTGAGTGGTACACACAGGAACAATGCCTCAATACATACTGTTGATAGAATGATCACTAGGAATTCTTGCCCTTGAAATTCTTCCACTGAGCCAACTTTGATGTCCATTAGATTCACACTGCGCAAGAGAATTCTAATTTTTTCTACCTAAAAATAGGGATCATGTAACACAATTAGCTTCAGGCATGAGAGCATAATGGTCTAATATTTCAAAAAAAGGTACTGAAAGTGAAATATTTCATCTTGTTGAATTCTATTTTCTAAAAGTTTTGAACATGTTGCATCTACATGAGTCTACAGTCAGTTGTACATTGTTAGGCTTTTGCTAAAACAATATCGTACAGTGGTACCTCGGCTCACGAACGCCTCAGTTTATGACCAAATCGGGTCGCGAACAAAAATTTCATAAACATTTTGACTCAGATCGTGAACTCCGCATTGGGTGGCGACCGCGATCACGGCCATCTCCCCACCCCACCGAGTGGGGAGATGGCCATGATCATGCTGGGGGGCAGGAGTGGGGAGATGGCCGAGATCGCGCCCGTCTTTCCTGCATGAGCGCAACCGTGATCTCAGCCATCTCCCCACCCCCCCCCAGCACAATCGCACCCATCCCTCCCCCACCCCCAGCGCGCCAGGATAACGGGTGCGTGCAGGGATGACGGATGCGATCGCAGTCGTGCTGGGGGGCGCGGAGATGACTGCGTTCATGCTCAGGGTGGTGGTGGGGAGATGGCTGCGATCTTTGTTCTTTGTCACTTCACATTTTTCTGATTAAAAAAAATGGTTACAGAATGGATTAACCTTATGGGGAAATTTGACTTGGCTCACAACCAATTTGGCTCACAACCAGAGTCCTGAAACGGATTAAGTTCGTGAGCCAAGGACCACTGTATTCTAATTAGGAGCTGCTAGCACTCTTTGGCATTGATGGCTACAGCTGGCATTGCCAGTTACTACTAGAAGCAATAAGACTGTTGGAAAGAGATGACTTTAGAAGCACACTTAGAGAACCTAAACATACACTGAATGCATTCCTTTGCTTTTCCATGTGTAAGCATGTCCATGTGATGTATCTTGTAAGTAGGCATTAAGTGCTGCAAATTATTCAGGAAGGCGATGTTGGACACATATTTCCATGAAAGGCATTGGCCAGAGCCTACTTGACCCAGCTATTTACATGAAGTAAGATTGCACCTTAAGCACCCCAAAAAGAAAGAGAGATCAAGTCCCCCACCCCAGGCTGTTTTCTGCCATCACTGATCTTCTAAATGGGGAACTACAGGTACTCCTACTAGAGCAGTTTGAAACTTGATTCTTGAAAAAAATACATTTCTTCTATAAAATATAATACTCAACTTTGAAAAAATAGCCAAATTTGATTTCTTTAGAACATGAGGCAAAGGAAGAATGCATACTGCTTGCTCTTCAGCTGGCAGTGTAGCATCTTTGGAAAATTTTAGGTGGCTTGTGTGAAAGTACCCTGTTGCCAGTAAGAATGGTACTAAACTTTAAAATCAGACCCATATTTGATTTAATGCATTTTCTTTTATCTTTTTAAAAAGTAACTTCATATTGAAACTTTTTTATATACACACACACACACACACACACACACACAACCAACTGGATTAGGAACTGTTAATTCTTTATTGAAAAGTCCAAAGTGTACTCTTACTGTTCAAAAAGTTGTGATCGGAAGCAAACTGGCAAAACGGTGGGAGCCCGCCTATGTATACTATGGGGAGGTTGGACTCCCGCCAAAAACTGTTAAGCTAGGGCATGGACTAGGGCACTGTGCAGGTGCAGCACCCATATGCATGATGCACAGAGCCCACAAAGAACAATAAAAGCATCAATCAAATCAGTCCAAACACAAAAAGGAAACCAACAGTATAACCATAATACAGAATGGAGCCCTACCTGCTTATGGTAAGGTGTAATCACCCCAATGTCAGTCTCAGACACTGCATAACTGATGCTCTTAGCAAGGAGGCAACAGTAACGCACTACTTGAACTGCTTCTGTGGGATTGAACCAAGAAGGACTGTAGCCTTCACGCATTTCATTGCCCTGCATTAAGGCAAGAAACAAAAACATGGAGAGCAGTATATTTTTATTTAATAATGTATATCCTGCCTTATTCTCATGAGATCAGTTACATAGAAGTCAGCAAAATCCCTCACACTGGCTCTGTTGTAGCTCCAAGCACCAACTTTCTTCTCATCACTTTGCTTGGAAAGTAACTGTCAGCTGTTGGAACAAAACTAATGATGGTTTGGACCCTAGAAAACTGATACCAGTGTGAATCTACAGAATCATTCCAAGGGTGCAACCTTTTTGTCAGAGTTACTGAATATCAGAACATTTTGGCACTCTACAGGAGTCATCTGTGTAAAAGAGCACTCTTGGGCTCCTCTTTGATGTGATCCTTTACTACTATCTACACACAAGCAGTTTATTCTGGACTGTCTATAAGAGATCTCTGACCAACCAGGCACTGCAAGACTGAGTACTCATTGGAAAATTCCTGAATGGTCTGAGTGCTTTCTTTTCATGTCTGCCAAGTAAAAAAACTAAAGCACCACAGTAGCATATGCAGACAATGATTTTGGACAGAATATATCTGTTGTGCTTGAATTTTTGCTTGTGCTTCATTACAGATTTACAGTGGACTTCATCAAGTTGCTGCTTTGTTTAATACTGCCAGCTGCATCCAGCCATCACTGTGGTCTGCTGGTCTTCTCAGTCAAATGCTTCAAGCCTCTGGCACTTCTCTGTGATTATGCCCTGGCATCCCCCAAATAGCAAGCGTGGCAAGCAGAAAAAAATCAGCCCTGGACTGACATTCCATTAATCAGTCCAATCTTGGGCACCATGACAGGTTGAACCTGCAAATAAACGAGTTTCCTCTGTTGCTCATAGATTCCTGGAGTGTCAAGAAAGGGAATGCCTGGTCCCATCCTTTTAATGCAGAGGCTTTTGACTACAGTCAGCCTGGAGAATGGAATCTGCATCAGGGCTTCAATGGTGTTCATTACAAATGTGATGGGGTATATATCACCTTGGAAAATGTGGAAAGAACTCTGCAGTAATGCTAAAATTCTATACACAGTTACTTAGTCCCACTTGATTTGGACTTTCTGGCTGCAATAATTAATGCATTTTAACTGACCATCCATTATAGCAAGCCATGCACTCCAGCATTAAAAAATAAAAAAGTGTGACAGGCTAAAAGGCTTGGAAAATGGCAATTGCAGTATTGGAGCTTTCAAAATGTTACATGGTCAAGCAGGCAGAGCAGCATTCAAAAACATGCATTGGTAAAACACAGAGTAAGGTATTCTAGCACTCAGCATAGCCAAGTAACCATTTAATTTCCTATGCAATCATGCAGTCCTCTTGGAAGTATTAGATCCAGATGGTCACAAAGACCCTGGCTTACACTCCCCCAGAGCCCTGAGAGATAAGATCCCTTTTTAAAACATGTAACACGGGGAAAAAAGGCCTCCTGTCACCAACTTCCCTCTTTTATATAATTGTTTTTCCCTCCTAAATTTTTTCAAGTAAATAGTTTCTAAAGTAATGATTAGCTCACTTGGAAGCATTTTAGCAAGATGATTAACCCATGATTTAGACATAGAACCCTCCTTCCCCAGCCAATTTTCCCTTTCTTCCCCTCTTCACTTCTTCAAAACATTCTAAAGAAAAATTGCTGTGTTCCCATTCCCCACCTTCTTGCTGGTAACTGGAAAAAAAATGCTATCCTCGATGCCACTGTTTAGTCTGAGTTGCAACTCAGGCAGCAACTGAGATACGCTCCTGCCTAAAATGATCTGGGCCAGTTCCCATGAAGCATCTTTTTTTAAAACCTTCCTCCTCCTTTTCCTCTGACCCATTCACAAGTGGCAAAATTGATTTCTTGAAGAGGGAAGAGAGCGCCCTGGATATCCTTCAGTGATGACTGGTGGAGGCAAGCCTGTTTTGGGTTTTGCTGGGGTAGGTGCAGGTTGGGTGCTACAGAGATGCTATACAGATTCATTTCCCTGGTGGCTCTTCAGCAAATCAGTCATCTTGGCTGACCTCATATTGCTATCAGTTCACAAAATAAAGCCAGACTCACACCAGCAGCTCAGAAGTGACACAGATGAAGCAGATGCTATAAAAATACTAAATAGTATACTAAAAGAGGGATTATTTGCTAAGCATGATTGTGAACAGTACTGGGAGAGCCATGAGGATCTGTGGGGGGAAGGGTGCTAAGGGGTCACAGGATGCCTCTTGGAACTCTGTTACCAGCACTGCAACTGGCCAGTGAGATCGGTTACACTCTTCTTGAAAGGAGGCAGGGAGTCACAAACAATTCATGGGACCATTTCCACATCCAGTTTAAATAATGCTTTAAGACAGCATGAACCAAAAGGAAAATACACTTTATTTCCAGATTAATGTTCTGAATGGTCAATGGCTCACCTAAAATTTCTGAAGCAGGTCAAGCAGATTCCAAAACTGCTTTTGCAATGGCAACCTCATGAAACACTCACTTTTTAATTTGTTCAAACTACACCATATCAAACATCCCTAGATATCAATGCTGCCCATCCATGCACAGGTAAATACCCATCCAGATAAATACACAGATAAATATCCATCCATGCACAGGTAAATGACATCCATTTATCAAGGATTATTTGAATATAAAAATGTTGACATACCCTGATGCCATGAAAAATCATTGGAAAACCTTTCCTTGGCAGCTTCTCCCATCCCAACAAAGAGTTGACCACAGAAGAGTCAGCACAGACCTCTAGCTCCTTATGGTAAAAGAGCCTAGATGGCAATGTGAGCAGTGAAGCATGTGCTCTATAATTCTTCACAAGCTTTGTAATCTGCAAACAAAGAACAGCAAAGTACATAATACAGAAGTTATGCACTGAAATACAGCCATACTGATTGGTGTATTCAAGTTTGAAAGAATGCTGCTGTTGATGGACTCCAAGGGGCTTCATTTAGGGCACGAGTGGGCAAATGGTTTCGGCATGAGGGCCCAATTGCCTGTGACTAACTTTCTGGGGGCTTTATGCCAGCACTAAATAAATACTGTTGTCCCATAAGACACTCTCACACACAGTATCCCCCTCCTCCATTCAAACACATTTACACATAATGTGCACATCCCATTTCATATACTACACACAAACATGTTTCCCCCTGTGGTCTCAATAAAGCCCTCCTTGTTCACTGTGGCAATTAGGCTTGGAAAAGGATGATGTTTCCACAGGCTCCAATGGAACATTTTTTTTTAAATGTGTAAGCCCGAGTTGGTGGAAGAGGATAGGGCCAAAGAGGAGAAGTGCTGTGATAACTGAAAACTGGTGGCCACCAACTGCCCAACCATTAGGGTACAAGTGGCTCCTGGAGTTCTCCAGAACCATGATTCTGCTTTCAAAGAAGATGGGTTTTCTCCAAGTACCCACATTTTTAACCATCACACTTGCAAATTCAGTGACAGCAGTCCTTGGGCAACTCCTTAGCCACTACAAGATGTCTACCCAGATTTAAGTTATCTCTGTAGGCTAGATATGCAGGTTGCTTTAACTGATGGTAACCTTGCCAGCCCATGTGTTGAGGAGAAAGGAACAGTCCAGGCACACTGTCCCTGAGAGAAACTTAGGTTCCTCTCATGTCCTCAGTTGTAGGACGGAATCTACTGTACTGATTCAGTAGAAAGGCTAGCCAAATGTGGTAGGTTGAAGGCTGTGGCACTAAACTGTGATTTCATTCACTTGAAAAGCCTACTAAAGCCAAGTGAAGCAAATACTTAGAGAATATCTGTAACCTTATATTTCATCAAGACTCATATCATAAGAGTATTCAGAATTAGCAAAGATGTGTAGCATCTGGACCAGAAGTAGCTAACAAGAGCTGTATAAAAGAAGAGCCTTAAATTAAGCTCCTCTGTGTATTTGGTTTTTTCCCCCAGTTTTAATTATTAATTCAGTAACAGTAAACAATTATTCTTTCAATCATATTTTTGAACTTGGTTAAAATTAACTGAACATTCTTCTAAATTGCAATTCTTCAACTCATTCTCTATTCACCTTGACTCAGCTTTCTAAAACTATGAAGCCTTGGTGTTCCTCTGTATAACTGAAAAAGCAAAACCACTGATTATCTGTTATATTAAGTAACTTCACATATTTAATTATTAATACAATTCTGAAATTAACTTACCAGCAGAGGATTGTATGATCCACAAGCACCAAAAGCATGTTCATCTCTCTGATACAGAGATCGGCACATCAGTCTCTCTAGCAGGGAAACACTTAATCCATAAACTGTAGCAAGCCTGGATTTTATTACTGGGCCTAGTTGCATTGGATCACCAGAAAGAACAATCTACAGATACAGAATATTATGAAATGTAAAATTAAGTTTTAATATATATTCGATTTTTTCATGTATTGCATTTTAGCATCTTTTTACAAACCGTGTCATAGAGATTTGCAAAATATACAATTGTCTTGTTGGAATCAAAGGATCTGGAGTTGAGCCTCATCAAAATGCAATATGATATCCAGTGCGCTCTGTCTCTGTTTTACATCTGACCAAGGAAAAGCTGCAGGTACTCCAAAAACTCACTTGCTCTTGCCTGTATAAACCCTAACAAACTAAAGCTAAGGGGTGCTGGTGGCATTAATTTATGTAAACTGAGCAGAGTTATGGATATTGGATATCCAGAGAATACTATTCAGCCTATTCTGGATGGAGTAGTACTCTTTTTTAATAAACAGGCTCACAATGGGGAGAATACTGCTTAATGCCGCAGTGCTGATGCTCAGGAGGCATCAGAAGGTAGCAGTAGTTTCCGTCATTTTCAGCTGGTTAGTCAGCTGTGCCTTCCTTCTTAAAGAAAGATGATCTGAACAGTTATCCATGCTTCATTAGCATGCACTGGAATAGTACATATGTTAATATGTATTGCACTGCATGGGTGGCTAGCTACTCAAAAACTATTTGGAAAGTTTTGCTGGTGCTTAAACATGATCATCAGAGAAAGAATCAGAATCGAGTGCTATGAGCACACATCATGCTGATACAGACAATACTTCACTGGCTTCCAGTTTGTTTTCAGGCCTTCAAAGGCAGAAATGGTCCTGAATCTGAATACTGTATCTGAAGAACCACTTTCTTCAAGTGAACCTTCTAAGTTCCCACTGATGTCTATAATTCACCTTCATCCTTGGCTATTAAGTATGGTTTCTTTATGAACCGGGAAATGACCCACCCAGACGAGATGTTTAATCCCCATTCTCCTTTTTCTCAACAGGATTTCTTTTTATACATACTTTTGTCCTCCCCATTTTTCAGCTTTACAGTCTCTGAGGGGAAAGAGCTATAGCTGTATTCCTGTCTCAGCAGAAGCTGTATGTTCATACACGCAGGTTATCTTAGCCATCCGCATGCCTTTGCTGTCTCCCAGCCTTTTGTTTTGCCAACAACCAAGCACGCTGTGTTCACAAGTCATGGAAAACAAGCCAGGGATGGTGCCCCGGAAGCACGTGAGCAGTCAAGAGTTAGTGCGCTCACTTGTTTCTACTCCTAAAGAACCCACGGTAAACAAACCATTGCTGTTGCGTCATACAAACTAGGTCAGTATCTTCTTTAATGAGATTTTCTCCTTGCAGGAAATAATGACAAATCATGAAATAATCTCAACAAATAATTTCAGAAAACGTTAGAAAGTCTTTATCAGTTGAATGTAACAGAAACTTAACGCACCTGCCCAGTATTTTCTGAGATCAGTCCCAGTGGGATTAGGCATTCTGGTTCAGTTGCCTGTCCTGCTTCATCCACAAACACGTGTGTGAAGTGTCCCTGCCTAGAGTTAGAGAATGAAAATGGAAAGTGTCAGCTTTCAGTAGATTGTGCTACCCTGGGGCAGTGCCTAATCAAATATCTCCTGAAAAATAAAAATTATGCCTAAATCATATTTGTGTACCAGTTATTTCAGTTCAGTTGAAGTCTATTTTTAATAGGCTAAGAACAAGCTATTTTAGAGCTGCTGTGCATGTACATTTTGGTGCAGGAACATCACAATGTATACTTTTGGAGTATATAACTGCTTAACATACACAAAAGCCTGGTTCAGATGCAACCCATTCTCATCTGCACAACATGAATGAGCTGTAGCAGGCTTCAACCTTGTGCAATCTCTTTCCGTATTTTGTTCCATGTGCCAGAAAATGACCAGAAACTCCCATTTCTAATTGAAATTCTATTTCTCCATGGTGTCTTAACTCAGGGTTTGTATACTCTTAGTCCTGGTTTGGGTATTAATACTAAATTGTACTTTAGTGTGCAATTCTGCTCTATGAACCCCAGCATATCTAGAGTTGCTAGTACCTTCTATATTTATTTTGATATACTGCCCTGTTCCCATAGGCACTGGGCAATTTATAAGAAAGCCAACAACAATTAGAATTGAGAATAAAAATAATCATATTAAATAAAACTAATCTGGGACTAGGAACGATGCCTACTTATGACTATTTTTGATGCCTTTCCCATGGGATTCCCCAAATCATGGAATGTTTTCTCTGGAGATATTCACCTTATGCCATCTTTATTCATATTCTGGCATCAGGCAAACTCGCTTTTATTCCATCAGAATTTTGAATTATTTTTGGCTTGTTACTTTTTTATTTGTAGTGTACAGTTGTCCTTTAAAATTGTCTTTCTTCATATTGCCTTGAAATTTATCTTGTACCGTTAAAGAATCATTCCAGTCATACTCACAGGTTGTTTTAGGATGCTATTGGTTTTATTATATTTGCTTTCATTATGTATCTCACTCTGAAAAACTTGGATAGAGGGAGATTCCTACACTAAATATAAGAATAAAGGCACATTTCATGGAAATTAAGGTATTCTTAATTCCTTATATACCTTTTGTACAATACTCATTGGGTATACAAAATCACCCAGTAAACGTCCTGAGTAGGAGAAAAATAGCAAGGTGACAGAATATTCCTTGTCATACTGTACTGCAAAATACAGGTACAATACAGACCCTGCATTTTATTAATTATTTTTAATGTTTTGCTGATTATATACATTGTGTTTTGTTTTGTCTATTTATTGTAATATTTTAATTGTAGTATTTTATTCAGGTTGTTATTCATTTTTTATTGTGATGATCACCCAGAAAGCATTATGCTAATGAGCAGCTGTTATACAAATTTAATCAATAAATATTTTTTCTATGCAGTGAGCTTTTTTTGGCCATTTCCAGTTGTTCATTTTTCCTGGGACTATCCTGTCACAAGACCCTCCCCCTTTTGTAACTCCTCAAACTTGACACAAATGTTTCATTAAAACATGCGTCGGTATTACCTTATTCCTATTTGGTAGAACATCGCTGCACTGCTACAGGTCACAATGATTATCCTGAACCGAGATGCTTGCCAAATGTCTTCTCCATCTTTGCAATAAAGCTTTATTACTTCACTAAGACTCTGTCAATACAAACAATTAATTGTGTATTAAGTACTTATATCACAGCCAGATCTTCAGGATTGGATTTGCCTCTGAGAAAGGGAAGATTCTGTTCATGGAAAGTGCTGCATTTCATTCCATTTTGGGGGATTCTTGCCACCCAAACTTGCACTGCCATCCACTCCATTTAGCAGGGTTCCCCAACACTGGCAGCAGTTTTGATGGCTGGAGCAGGGAAATACCCATCTTCCAGGCCACTGCATGTTTCTAAAGCTGGATTCTAACCTTTTGTAGATCATGCATGTAGGAGAAAGAATACTGTGCTCCAAACTATAATCTTTACAGATTGGAAGAAAAGATGCTGGGAGCAAGGTCTTTTAAAATTTGATTTCTATCCTGCCTTTCATTGCAGAGGCAAACTATTTTTTAAAAAAGCACACTGGAGCTGCTTCAAGGATGCATAAGAACACGGCAAAGGGTTTGAGAGTGTCAGAGAAGCCAAAAGCAATGCCATAAAGAGGCCAGACCTTCTCACTAGGCTGGTCTCCTAGCAGGGTCACCCAAGGCAGAATGGCCAAAAAGCAGAGGCATTCACCCTCTTTGGGAATACACTCACATCAGCAGAAGAGAATGGATATTTCTAATGGTGAAGGGGGCAGAGAAAATTCTGGACAGCAGCTACTCGGCAACTGTGGTAGCTGAAGTTGAGGATCTTCCGCAGACAATGGCAGTGAAGCTCAAACTAATATTGGTTAGTACTGTGTAGAAGGCAGTAATAAACCACTTTTAAGTTTGCTTACCTTGAAAACCTTATGACAATCCAAAATCAAACAAGAGGTAGTGCCAGAAGATGAGACCCTCAGGGTCAGATGGTACTCAACTAACTACAGGGAAGAGCAAAAGACAAGTACAAATGGTGCTGTCACTAATGACACTAGTGGATCAAAGCTGAAAGGAAGTCTAGTGGCTGACATGCACTGGTGTGAAAGGACAGTTTGATGCTGAACAGCACATACAGCTAGGCTATAGGATGTGAGAAGTATGAAGGCCAACTGGAAAACAAGAAATGAATGGCTGAACATTGCAGCGCTTGGTCTGAGTGAACAGAACTGGACTAGAACGGGCTATTTTCAGGCAAGTAGACACAAAGTGTTTTACTCCGGAAATGACAAACTGAGTAGAAACAGTGGCTCTAATTCAGAGGTAGCAAGAGATAGCACAGGCAATAATGGGTTAACATTCAAAATCTGTTTGAATAGTAATTAGAATTTGTGAAAAGCCTGCCACTATAACCATCATTCAAGTCTACACTCCAATAATTGATGCTGAAGAAGAAGAAACTGATAACATAGCAAAACAAGAAATGCTGATCATTATAGGTGCCTGGAATGCAAAAATAGGAAATAAAATCGACGTCAATATTGTGGAAGGATTTGGTCTGAGGTAAGAAGCAAAGCAGGTGAACAACTCATATAATTCTGTGAAGCCAGTCATCTGTTTATTGGAAAGACATACTTCAAGCAATGGACCAGATGACTGCATACAGGGATATCACCTAATAGTCTATTTGATTTCTTATTGGCCATGTAATTGGAAGCAGAAGATGGAAAATCTGCATTCTTGTTGCCAAAATAAGACCAGGAGCACACTGTGGTAGTGACCATGAACTCTTAATACCAAAAATCAGAGTCAAGGTAAAAAAGATCGCTAACAGAAACAGTGACAAAATAAAACTTAAATAACATCCCTGAGGAATGTAAAGTCCACATGAAGAACAGGCTCTTGCATTACTCAACTCATTTGACTGAACCAGACTGCAACTGGAGACATTATAAGAGAACACTGCAAAAAAGAATATGTCTCGATGGTTAACAGAAGATATATGATTCAGGTGAGCAGATTAAAGATGATACAAATAGGGTCAGAATCTTGAATGCAACTTTCAATGACTATCATGTAAGAGACAGAAGGATCTATTTCAAAAACAATTTCTGAAGAGCTGGAAAACAGCTACAAAACAGGAAAAATAAGACAAGTCTTCCAGAAGATCCAAGAAACCAAACCTACATTGGAAATGCTGAAATTCTAACAGGGGAACATACACTTATCTGACCAAGAGAAAATTGAAAGCGTATATGGAAGAATGATGCAGAAGTGATACAAAAGATGGCTGACTCTATCAAAAAGGAATTCTATGAGGAAGAATTTGCAATATTAAAAAATGAAAGTTGCTCTGAAAGCACTTTGAAGGACTCAAGCACCATAGTAGATAGGGTACCAACAGAATTATCCTGAGCTACTAAGACTGAATCTGTTCAAATCCTAACATGAATACACCAATGAATAAGTGAAAACTGGCAAAAGTTACAGTCAATTTAAGACATGCAGCTAATATCATATTACCAGCAGAAAGAAGCAATGAGTTGACATTATTCTTTCACTTCCATCAGGAATCAAGTGCAAAAACAGAGCTGCAGCTAAATATTAAGAGAACCAAAATCATGACTGAAGAAGAATCAAAATTACAAGGTCAACAATCAAGAAGTTGAAATTGTAAAAGGTTGTATGTACCTTACCTCAGTCATCATTTCAAATGGACAGTGTAGCAGACTTAGAAGAACAGTAATGAAGGAATAAGATAATAAAATGTCTTATTTTACTGGAGGCCAAGAGACATTTCACTGCATGTATCAAGATCATGCATCATCATGTATAGGTGAGAAAGCTGGACAGTGAAGAAACCCGACAGGAAGAAAATGGATGTGTTTGAAACATGGTCTTTGCGAATACCCTGGACCAATAGAAAGACAAAAAATGGGTCTTAGATCAAATCAAACCAGGGGTTTTCCTGGAAGCAAATGTAACAAAACAAGCTCTCTTACTTCAGGTACATCATGAGAAGGCAAGACTTGCTGGAGAAGACAAAAATGCTAGGGAAAGTTGAAGGCAGAAGTAGAAGAGGAAGGCCAAGTATGAGATGGATCAATTCCACAAAGGAAGGCACAGCCGTGAGTCTACAAGCATTGTGCCAGGCTGTGAAGGAATGGCATTTTGGAGAGCATTCATTCAGAGGGTTGTCATTGAGTTGGAGACTGCTTGCCTACAGAAAATAAGGGGACAGGCTGAAATAAGTGTGGTGTTTGTTCCATGTATTCAGAGAGTTCTCCACACCTCTTCTACATGTTTTTTAAACTCTTTTTTGAGGTGAATGGTGTTTATTCATTTTGCTCTTGCCCAGAATATTGCAATTAGTTAGCAGTGCCAATTTGATTTGTCTCCTCTTCATGGGAGCAGTACTACATGGGGATAACACATACAATGATACTTTTTGGATGCAATAGCCCATGATGAGCTGGGGTCATGTGCTACCATTAATTAAGATAAAATGAAGTCATGTGGCACAAGACAGTCCTTGAAACAAATTACCTCTTCGTTTCTACTGGATGCATTAACTCTGACCATAACTCCTGGCTTTAACATATTGCTGTCATGAAGTCGTTGACAAACTAGATCTGTTGCACTGTTTGATGGAGCACAAACTAGTATTCGGCTGTCTGGTAACGAGTAATGTATCTAAAAATGTTATAAAAATGCAACAATCATTCACATTCTGTTTGGGTGGATTTTCTTAATATATTGAGCAGCAAAAGTCTTCTTTAAAGTAATATACTACAGATATTATTTTCTGCTATTTTTATTTCTTCACATAAAGAGAAACAGTGACTGGTTCCTATTCAAAGTTCCCAAATGCATTACATTAGCACACTTTCTGAAAGACAAGCAGCAGCCCTTCAAGCCAATGCAGTGCTCAAAGCAACGCTTCTGCAATTACTAATTCCAAGTCAATTTTACTGTAGACCAATAAGTCATGTTATCCTCAGATGAGCCCTGACCTCTGTTAAGAGCCCTACTGTAGACAAGGACACGGCTGCTTCTTCAAATCAACAATTTTCACAAGCAATGGGAATTCATGCATGATTAAGTAAAAGACTTAATGAAAATTCATGAAATATTAAAAGCAGCAGTGGCAAATCCCATATTGTTAACTGTTACCTGCAAAACTGCTTCAATGACTGTGACAGTTTTGCCAGTTCCTGGTGGCCCAAAGAGAATATAAGGAGTCGGACGACATTCACCCCCAAGTATCCTCTTCACAGCTAGCTTCTGATGCTTGTTCAGCAGAGGGTTGAAAAAGTCACAGTCTCTTGTATTAGGTGATGCAATTCCATTTACTGTATTCAAAATGGTGTGTAAATTTTACAAGTTTCTCCAGAGTCCATGCAAAATGTACAGAACACAACTGTATCTATAAGAATTATTTTACATATAGCATTTCTATGCTGCCCAATAGATGAAGCTTCTTAGGCAGTTCACAGAAACTGAAACCATAAAATACAAGATAATATTTAAATTTAAAAGTTTGAAACTACTGCATAAAAATAAAAATAACCAGACAACCTAGCTTTGTGTGAAGATTTAAAATACAATGTGAGATTTTAAACAGAAACTGAAAAACTAAATGCTTGGGAAAATAGAAAGATCTTCACTTAGCAACAGAAAGAGCACAGTGGACACAAGCAGAGTACCCATGGGAAGTTCATTTCACAGCTGGGGTGCCACAGCAGAAAAAGCCTTCTTCTTAATAGTCTCCTACCTCACTTCAGTTGGTGGAGGCTCCTACAGAAGGGCCACTGACATCTTAGAGTTCAGGAAGGTGTACATGTGTATATAGCAGAGTCTGGTTTTATTGAATGATTTTCAGTTAGTATAGCTCAAAGATGTTGACAAGGTGCTTGGCCAGGTTCATACAACTACCTCAGTCCTGGATTTCTGCCCCTCCTGGAAAGGAAGGAACAACTGTCTGGGGCAGAAAAGTGATTCATGTCTTTTTGCTTGTTGCTTGGGAATATTATTTAACCATGCAGATTCTCCACCATGGAGTTCCTCAGGGGTCTGTTCTGTTCCTCATGATATTTAACATTTCCATGAAATCACTCAAGTGGGGTCACCCAGAGTTTTAGAGTGTGTTGCCATTAATATGCTGATCACATGCAGTTCTATTTCTCCTTTTTATCATCTGCAGGTAAGGCAGTGTCTGGCTTGATAATGGCTAACCAACTGGAAACTTAGTACAGTCAAAACTAAGATGTTTGTGGGTGGTTTGACTAGATGGTGTTTAACCTGTTCTAGATTAGGTTGCACCCCCCCCCCCCAAAAAGAGCAGGTTTGTAGCTTGGGGGTGGTCCTTTGTCACTTGGGGCTCAGATGAGCTCATTGGCTCAAAGTGCCTTCTACCAGCTTCAGCTACTAGCCCAGCTATATCCCTTTCTGGACAGGGATAAACTGGTTTCAGTAATCTATGTTCTGGTAACCATTAGATTACTGCAATGCACCCTACATGGAGGTGTCCTTGAAGACATTTCTGAAGCTAAAGTTCATACGGAACTTAGCAGCTAGATTAATAACTGGGACCTGTAGGTCTGAATGCATAAGAGTAATTAACTCCCTGTATGCTTCTCCCTGTATGCTTCCGGTCCAATTCAAGGTACTGGTTTTAACCTATAAAGCTTTACATGACTTGGGACCACAGTAACTGTCCGGATGCCTCTCCCAACCACAATCTATTTGGACACTATACTCAACCACTGGGCCCTTCCTTCAAATGCCAACTCTGAGGGAGGCTTGGAGAATGGCAACAAGGCAGAAGGCCTTCTCTATGGTGGCCTCCCACTGATGGAACAGTCTCCCAACCTCAAACCAACCTTATCATCTTTTCAGTGCCAGGTTAAGGCAGTCTTTTATGCTAAGGTCTTTAAAGATTTACACAGCTACCCAGGGGCTTGAGGGGATGAGCCATCACGCTGTTTAACCTTTTACAGGGTCATTTCTTCTGTATATCTTAGCTGCTTAAAACCATTTTAATGCTGGTTTGATTTTATAGTATTTCTCTTGCATTTTATTTTTTGCTTTTAAGGGTTGTTGTAAACTGCCTAGAGAGCTTCAACTATGGGCAAGCAAGTAATGAAACAACAACAACAGAGAGGAGTTGATCCATGCCGTTTAAGGCTCTGGATTTTAATACAACCACTTTGAATTTTATTTGGGAATGGATTGTCAGCCAATGCAGATGGAAAAGCACCAGCATAATATGATCATATTGTCCAGTAGCAGTTATATCTTGCTGCGCTGTCTTGGACCAGCTGAAAAACAGATCCAAATGCATTGTGGTAATCCATATAAGAGGTTACCAATAAACAAATAACGGTAACTAGGTTGTTTCTTTTAGGTTAAAGATGGAAATGATAGATCAGTCTAAATGTCCCAAGTCCACCTGTGGCTCCAATGACAATGTTGGATACAAGAACCCACCCAAACTACAGAATCTATTCTGTAATACAGCAAAGGCCAACAAACATCTCAAGGTTATCTACCAAGCCACTTCACATTACCAAAAATAAACAAGTATTAAAATTATACCAACTTGTTTGTGAAGCAACAGTCACAACATCGGAAACAACTGCTTTTTTATATTTTGGCATCTTCTTTCCATTACTATTCTGCATCTTCTCATTCTCATTCTGAAAAAAAACAAAGTTTAAATAATATAAAAATGCACCATCTCTATAAGCAGCAACTTGTGTAAAATGTACTCCCAGCAGGACTCATTGTGACCCTAAAGGCCTTCAGCGGTCATCAACAAGTGATAAAGAAGGGAAAGCTGCACCTGAGATACTGGCTGGATAACTGGGGAGAGTCAGCTCTTAGTACCCCAACTTTTGCCATCCTCTATAAGCACCATAGGGACAAAAAGATAAAGATGGTGCAGTTATGAGATTGCATCAGGGAGAAACACACACATGAGCTGCTAACTTACAACTGAGAATTACAAAGAAAAAGTTATTGCACAGATCCTTGCTTTTGCTGGTGACATTAATATTATTTATGCTTGAAATTTAAGTGCAGGAAAGAACGTCTTTTACCTTCTGATACAGATAACCTGATGCATTTATAGAATGCCACAACAGTAAAGAATTTAGTGAAAAGTGGCTACCAGAATGGTTTTAACAATGTACCTTAGCTTCCTGTGTGATGGTTTGCATTTGAGCACTGTAAGCACCTTCAGAATCGTTCCATTCCTTTACAATTTGTGGAGACTGTACAGTGAGACTATCAGGAAATAACACTTTGGGACAAACATTGAAGGAGAGACAAAAAGGAATGGTGTATTACTCAACTGTGTCAACTGAGTCATTAACAGAAACTGGAGTTAGAGAAGATGCAACTTTTATTCTGCTTTCCTACACTCTTCAAAGGAATGAAATTACAAGAGCACCTTTCCTTAGCCTATGTGCTTTTGACTGAAGTAGTGCACATGAAAGCATGCAAAGTCAGCAAAGATGGAAACACGTGTGTTCTTCAAAATGAATGGACTCATCATTTGTGAACATACTAAGTAGCAGCATTTTACAACTTCAAAAGCCAGCTCTAATTACAAGAAGAAATCGCTTAAGTTGTTTTCGAAACTGTATGATAACTAGCATGACTATGATATATTGGGAAAGATCAGTGAAAATAAATAAGCAAGTTGCGTGGAGAGAAGTCAGAGAAATTGGTAGGGTTTCCTATCCCAGAATAGCTTCATATCACTTTTCTTTTTGATCAGTCTAATGTGCATAATGGATACCTTCTTCTCTTTCTCTGTTTTGGCTTTGCTAGATCATTTCCCCATTGCAACCATAGCATTGGGTGGACCAGAAGCCAGAAAGGATGAGCAAGGAATGGAATGGAAGAGGATGGCACCCAAAGGCAGAAAGAGACCCATCAAAGAAAAGTGCATTTTTAAAAGAACAGAACAAGAGAAGACACTTCAAGGGGAGAATTAGGCAAAAGGCAATAAGCTGGAGAAGCAAGCAATAAAGCACAAGAGGAAGAGCCAAGATCACCAAGACTAAGGTGTAAGTCCTTCGTCACTGTGATCCCTGTCTTTTCCTGGGCAGTGTAAAAACTTGACCTCTTCTTGAAAACCATTTCACACTGAATAAAAAAAGCTTTAAATAGGATTCCTTCTTCTATCTGAATTCTGTAATTCTACAGAGGTGACATGATGAGTCAAAACAAAAATCATTCAATGGTATCAGCTCCTTAAAATCAAGGAGAAAGTTATTTTGAAGCTAGGCTGTATGAACCACTAAGAAGTATTCATTAGAAGGTAGTCCTTTACTAGAATATCCTGCCCAGCTTTCAAGGAAATCAACAAGATATTTAACAGTACAGTGCAGTTAAACCTAATTTTCATGTAAAGCATGCCTGAAATTCCATCCATACAGGTGCTGTTCTCAGTGGAAAACTATGCATATATAGCTCACAAGCACATTAGCACCCACAATTAGCTATTACTAATGGTAAAATATTGCAGGTGTGAATATTGCAGGTGTGCATGACATATATACCAGACCTAACATGAGGAAATTTTAAGCAGTATCCACAAAGTAGTGGTTTTGTTTGAAGTGGTAGGGGACACAAACATCTCACCTTTTTCTCCTAAATAGATTGCTTGTTCAACAGCAAAATGGCATCTCTGGCTGGTAGTCCTATCAATAGATAGGACAAAAACTAAGTTTTAACAGTCAAGACATCACATTATTAGGCCTGATCAATGTATCCCCTTAAGCTGTGGCTGCATTTACATAGGAAAGAGAATATATTTGTTTAAATCGACTGCTTTGACTTCAGCCATTTTACATCACCAGTTAGGGAAAAAAAAATTTCTCAAAAGGCATTATTCAATACTTCCTCAAAGCTGAATGAAAAAAATTGTGTCATTACTAAAAGCAAAGTGTAGGAAACACTTCATCTTAAATAAACAGGACTTAAAAAAAGAAGAAAGGATCGTTTATCTTCATTGTGCACAATTTTGGTAATATGCTAATAAAACAGAAGCAGTCAGCACCATCCACGTCAGTGCAAATAAGAGCTAGATGTTTATTATGACTGATTCCATAGCAATTCTGCAAAGTTGGATCACACTTATTTCTATTTTGTATAGATGGCACTGTGAAGAATTGTCTTGAACAAGTCACTCAAACAGATGATCGCTTGTTCATCTCGAAAATAAAATTACACAAGACACAAGTGGAAGAGTGCCAAGCTCAGGAATTATCCTCCCAAACTGGGAGGCAACATTCTCTGTTTGCTTCATAATGAAGTCGGACACAACTTTTAAGAAAAAGCATACCTGTTAACAAGAAATTCCACATCCATGGGTTCAGAATTATATCTTTCTTCAAACTCAGGATTAAGCCTCAGAGTAACTTCTTCATCATGAATCTGTATATAAGAGGGAAAAAACTCTACTAGTTTGTTTGTGTTTGATCGTCAGGGATTTTTATATCAACTGTATGGTTTATGTTATCAATAAAAACTTTTAATAGAAGATAAATTCCTTTTTAGCAGCATTCCTAGGCAAGTCTGGATAGGAAAAAGTCCTATAGCTCTCAGCATGCTCCAACCAGCATAGCCAAATACTTTTTTTTTTTACATAAACTTGCATAGGATCATGCCCTTAATGGTTAAAATTTGCAGAAATCACAAGCACTGTACACACCTCAGCACTTTGACTCATATCATAAAATAATTTAAGCCATTGCCTGCAATAAATCTCAAATCAAGCAAACTTACTTTTCCTATGTACAGCTTTCATCAGAAATTTTAAGCTGCATTACTTGGAAATAAATTCCACTAAACACAGCATGGATTACTTCTGATTAAAAACATACATTGGGTTTCACTGTTAAATACAAGAATACACAAATCTGAATAAGGAAAACACAACCAACTCACTTCAGTGATATATGCAATATAGTAGATCCTTTGCTCCGAGTACTCTTGGGTCTTTAATATCACTCTGTCACCTAATGCAAAATATACAGAGCTTAGATTTTTTCACCTGTACATATTATAGCAATAGGAAAGGCATCCTCTATATCTGAATGAAGAGTTTTAAACATAGCACTCTTTCAGGGGCAAGATGACCAGTATAGTACTGATGTGAATTAACCTACATACATACAAAGGCAAACTTCAAAAGATATTCGGATTCATGGTTCCAGAAGTGTTCCTATTGGCCAAAATTTTAATGAACTCTATTAGAAACACAGCAAGCAGTCCCATACAAAGCTCTATTTGGTGTATCAATCCCAGCCTTGTTAATTCTTACTGGTTATGCCTCTCTAAAAAGTCAAGCAGGTGTTTTTCCAGTCCTACCTGGAGATGCTGGGAATTGAACATGAGACCTTCTGCATGCAAAGCAGGTGCTCTGCCTCTGTACTATGGCTTGTACTAAGCTTTATCTATCCCTGCCACTCTGGCATCTCTGAAATGTTCAGTTTTCTTGGGAAATAAATAGAAACTTCAAGAAGACAAACTGCAAAACAAGTTTGATACTATCTGGGATCTTTGGAATCTTTTTTTAGAATGTAGGTTTGTAAACAAAATGCTTTACATTTTGGTTGGAAAGTGCAAGAAACTGAAATATTTTGCTTGCCTTGACCAAAATACACTTGAAAGGATCACTTAATGTTGCTCATATGGACAACAGAATACTATTCTTTTGATTGCACAAAGTAGCATCATTTATAAAGCTATGGGCTCATACCTGAACCTAACGGAGGGCGACCCTCTGTGACTCCTGGAACATCAAGTACTAGGAAGTTCCCATTCCTTTTTAAGGTAACCCCATACATGGAGAAATCCTTCATTTCCATCTCTTCATGGATCTCCTCAAGCCACAACAGGGAAGAAAATTTTGCTTTGTAATTAGCTAGAGTCAGGCCCTGAAATGTAAGATGTTTTGTCATCATTTGAATAAGAAAATCTCTAGGACCCACCAAAAACCCATAATGTATGATGAAGCTGTGTAAGAAACATTCTTTTCATTTTTCATTAAAAAAACTCTTTATTAAATCAAGTGATTTTTCTCTTATTTGTATTGTATATTTTTGGTGTATTTTTTAAATTAAAGAAACATTTTTTCCAAAGAACATCACAATGTACATCAGATTCTCAAATGGTCTATAAGGAACAGTTACAGCTGATACTTTTCTTAGTACCAGCCAAGTCTCCTGTGCCACATTCCTGCTGTTACCTACAATCTCAGATCTAAGGCAGAAGTCGGAATACATCCCTGTAGGACTGCTTCAAGCTCCATCTCCCTACAGGCTGGATGAGGGCCATGGACTGGAAGTTCTACATCCCTGTTTTACTGTGCAAAACTGTTAAATCTCCGTCCTTTGATGGGAACAAGCAGATTATAAGAAGCCAAATGAATAAGTGTTCTGAAGCTTTTCTAAAAAAAATCTTGCTGTTTAATCCTATGTGTTTGTCCTGCAAGGAATCCAAGGAAGCTTCTGTAATCTTCATCCTCTCCATTTCCATCTTTACAAGGTAAGTTAGGGTGATTTCTCAAAGACTGGACCAAAGTCACCCAGGAAGTTTCATGGTGATGTGGGGACTACAGGATAAGACTGCTGAGTTCTAGTGCAACACTCTAACCCAGGGGTCTCAAACTGAACTTACCTGGGGGCCGCTGGAAGTAGAGTCTGGGTGAGGCTGGGCCGCATCAAGTATTCCACCACCGTGGTGGTGGTGGGCTGCTCATCCCGCGGCCAGCCCAGGCGCCGCCGGCGCTTTGAAGGCCGCAGGGCCCCTCCCCCGTGCCCTGCCCATCCCGGCAATTGGCCCGTGGGCCGCGAGTTTGAGACCCCTGCTCTAACCACTTTGAAACACCAGCTGTCTTTAAAGTTCATGAGGAGCTGTTGTTAAGGAAATAAAAGTATAGGAAGTAAACTTGCTCAACTAATCACTGTAATGGATGGGAGAAGATCAGGCAATCATTTGGAGAATCTGTAGCAACTTGGGTCTCTCCAGATGTTCTGGACTTCAACATCCAGCTTCCTTCACAAATGAACAGGTTGGCTGGTGCTAAGAACTGTATGCCAAAACCTGGTGAGACTCAGAGTGAGGAAGATTATTGTAGCAGAGATGCATAGAACAAACTGAATTATCCAAGATCATACCTTATCAAATGTTGTACACATCAATATGTAATTTTTAACACAAGACATATGCTAAATCTGTAACTATAAACTATAGAAACAAAATGAGTCAGAAGGAGCTTCCTGGGCTGTCTAGTCTGATTCCTGGCTCCACCTAGCTCATGTAATCCCCTATAAACTATAAAATCACTGTTGCTCTTTAGTGGATTAAACAATTAAAATTAAAATACTATCATTTGAAGAGGACCAATTAGAAACCAATTCTATTGGCAAAAACTTTTCATGTAACAAATATATCAGTTATAATATAAATATAATATCAGTGCACACATATGGACTAGCGTTGGTTCATATCAGGATCTATCAGGATCTGTGCTAGCCAGAACCCTGGCCATCCTTTTGTCCTTCACTTCACACAACTCTTCTTTCATGCCTACTTAATTTCCTGCCATTTGTCCATTTAGTAGAAGAGGCATATAAAAGAGTAAGTGTAATGCACTCCTGTGCCCTTATTTTAAACAATTCTGCTATTTTTATCTGATCCAATCTTTGGGAAAGTCTACTGGAACTGAAGCCATTCTAAATTCAGTTATTATTGTTAATATTGTTATATATACATATAAACTGTACCTGTATCTGAGCTGTGCATTTGTCTGCTTAATTTGGAAGAGTTCTATACTGCAGTGATATCTTACCTCTCCAAGATGCGGGTGAAAGACCAGTATATCCAATTTCTTCTCTACACATTTCATTAAACTGTCTGGAATGGGGTAGTGGGGAATGAAACTTGGTAGCTGTCTTCTTACGCTTCTAAGATTTTAGAAAATAATAGCAGTTTATACTTAGAACACAATTTTTTTTAACCTATTGCTATCAGTCAGTTAGGATGTGACTTCATTTAACAAGATTAAAAAAACACATAGTAATTAGCAACTACACCATTAACGACTAGAGACTGATTTGGGAGCATGTTAAGCACAAACGATTATGAATTTGCCAAGTTCAGTCAAAATTTAAAGCATGAACATGTGTGAAAAGGAGCAAAGGAAGAATAGCACCCAGAAAAACAAATTTTAATTCAGCGTGTTAAAGTTAGCATACATTCCATGATACTGCAAGTAGACATTTCAGTGAAAATGTCGTATTTGCACTACTCCAATGGGTTCCATCCTAGACACTGAGATGCTGCTGTTGGTCCAGAATGCAGCAGTCTGATTCTTACCTGGAACGATTTGAGAACACTTGTGTCCATGAACCACATTGGAAAAAGGCTCAATACTACATGCATAGCGTTTAAGTCTTCAAAGATTAAGCAGATTACGAAAGGTTAAGTACCTTTGCATGTTGGAAATGTTGTGTGCTCTTCTAAATGTCAAACCTGATTGAATCTAGATAATTTATTGGAAAACTACTTCTCTTCCCCTTCTGAAAGAGTAAATGATCAAAGCACTCAAGATTGAAAAAATGTTTAAACTGATGCACCTGATTTCTTGAAGAAATGGACAGTTATTTCCACAGTGTCTTCCTTTTATAATATTTTGGAAACAGAATTATTTCAAAGGGAGACTAAAACTTGTTGCATTTATGTAAGCATATTCATTTTTCATTAGTATTATAATCACAACTGACAAAATTTCATTTGATTCTTATCAGGAACAAATCAAGGTGCCATTTTTATATGGAAAGTCCCAAATTATCTTGCAGCACAATAGCAGAGGCTACATTTTCTTCGGCATGTTATCCCAGCTGTAAGAGCAGTTTGTCAGTTGTGGCACCAGAGCTCCAAAATTCCACCCTAGGGAAACCTAGTAAGTCCATTCACAGTTGGACTGGGCTGTGTGTTTGTGTGTGTGTTTGATGGATTTATATGCCACTACAATAGTCCATATCTGGGCTCTCTGTGCAGCGCACAATATGAAACACCACACCATTCTAAAAACAATAGCACGAAATCAACATATTCAAAACATGTTAACACTATGATCAAAATATAAAGATAATATATCAAATTGAAATATAAAACATTAAATCAAACAATTTAAACTAAAAGCAACTAAAACTAACATGGGGTCAATTTAAAAACGAAATAGCTATTAAGAGCCATTGTTAAAATATCCGGAGAAAAGGTGAGTCTATGCCTGGCTAACAGTGTCGGCAACAGGCACATCTCTCTGGGAAGCCTATTCCAGACCCAAACAACTGCCAAGAAGTTGTTTCAAAGAGAGCCAAAGTCTGTTGCCCTGGGAATTTTCTCAATTATTTTTTTTTCTAAAGTCTTTATGACTTTCCTGCTTGATGGCTTTTAAATTGATGTTGCTATAGTGTGTGCAATAGAGAAAGAGAGAAAAGATGTGTGCACTTGCATTTTTTTTTGTTATTTTTTACCAGCAGCCACAGTGAGAGTATGAAGGATGAGTTCAAACAGAACTCTACTATTTTAGCTTGATTGACTAGGCAGCCTACCATCACAGTTGCTACTGCCCCCCATCCTGAAAAATTATGTGTTTGATACCAGTGGGAGAGGGGGTGGAGAGAGCAAAGAGAAGAGAAGCTACGTCTTGTTTCACTCCCAGTAGGGCTTTTATAGGAGGCAGAAGCAGCACAACTGTTTCATATTGTGAATCTTTTGCTACCCCAACATACTGTCCATATTATTCAGCAACTTTCCTTTTAGATATGCTGGGCTGCTACCTCTATTTTCCCAATCACAGCCTTGCTAGCTGAGAATAATAGGAGACCCAGAAGGATGTGGTACTACCATGTACCATCTCTTCAAGCTCCAAGGAGCACTTTGGGAGGTGGGAGGTGCAGACAGAAAAACTGATGACAGCTGCCCAAAGTGCCACATGGCTAGAGGAGCAAGACTTTCTGCCATTCTTGTGAGGTAGTTCCACAGGCTTCAGTACTTCACCTCAAAACTTCTTGTGTCATCTGGGTTTGGATGTCATGGCAAGCTCAGGGAAGGCTATAAGCTCTTCAATGAGCCATGGCTTCTTTGGGTGGCTTTGTAGCACCTGGTATAGAGCTGCCTTGTTTTGATAGTAAACTAGAACACTGTGGCTTTAAAGCTAACCTGGGTTCTAGCATTTAGACTAAGCCAGAGCCCATCTGATGGACAGTTCTTGATTCAGGTTCTGAATCAGGACCTCTAGAATCTGTAAACTCCACTCTCTAAGGAACCAAACCAAGGGATCAGCACTCCAGGTTAGCAGGTCAATAAAGGCCACAAGCTGGAAATCCTGAGAGTTTCTCAGTCCCTTAAAGGCTTTACACCCCTCAGGGAAGAGATGGAGCATGAAGGGGTAATCTGGAACTGGGAGCATTAAAGTCTTCTGTATTGAACACTATGACAATTCTTTGCAACCTGAAACAATAGTCATAATGGCCTGGTATCATTCTCACACATTTAAGCAGCTCTTCATGCAACTGGGCTTTAATAGCATTAGCTATAACACAACCATTTATAAATTTCTCTTATCCCAATTTAAATTTGTATGATTTTGAAGCATATATTTATCCTTAGAATAAAGGGAAGTAATTGCCAGTGTGATTTTTAGCTATATGTACTTTTATATGGTATTACTATTTAAGCACTGTTTTACCAAAAGAAAAAGCAAGTCCTTTCTTACAGTGAAATTATCTTGGTATAATTGGTAGTACCTTTTGCAGTACTGTGCTAAAACCACTGTTGTCCTTATGTTCTGTTGCTCAGCAGTAACTTGACATTTTCTTGGACAAAAAGGCTTAGAGACTGCTATTAGTGACTCTTCTTCGGTTACTATAGTTGCTTCAATGTAGCGACCAATAATACAGTCAGAAAAACAGAGCAACAGAAGTTCTTTGCAATGTCCAGGGTTTCTTTAGAATAAAATATAGAAATGTGTTAAAGCCATGAGGCAAAGTATATAGGAACATAGTCTTTTATTCTATAATATGTCATATACATGAATCACATGGTCAATGCTGGTTGCCCCTAAGCTTTGGAATATTCCGCCAGGAGAGATGCATCCCATTTCCCAAATCCCCACCTTTAAGAAGGAACTAAAAACATATATGACAGGCCTTCCCAAATTAGTTCTCAGGTCAGTTTTATTTAATATTTCGTATTACTCAGCATTACTCACTGTTGGTTTAACTTCTTGTAAACCACCAAGAGCCTATGGGAATAGGGTGGTATATAAATATTAAGATAAATAAAATATTGCATCTATTTATGTTTCTAGATAGCCATATTTTTGTGTAAGAAAATAGGTTGGGACAACATTCAATTAAATTGTATCATCCATCATGAACTGGTACAGCACACACATTTTGTTGTAATGCCTTTTGGTTACCCATTAGAGTTTTGGACACCAATACAGAGGAGCATAATCGATGGTTATTTTTTGAACAACTAGGTGAAGGAAAACACACTTACTTTGCAGTGCATAATATCTCTATAGAAATCTTAGTCCCAGAAGGCAGAGAGATATCTTTGCTGGGATCAGTTTTTTTTTCTTCATTTTCTTTTCGCGCTTTTTCACAGCGCAATTTTTCAGGCTGTGTGATAATAGAACTGTCCTGGTTTTCGCCACTGTTTATGTACACAGGTCCAAATTCTGAACAAAAGGAGCAGGGAGGAAACTAAATGACTAAGTACACCAAATGCAGCCTACAGAGCAGTTAGCTGTTATATATATGTTACCAGTAACAGCTTCTTTAGGAACTACAGATGATGCTGGAGATACTGTTGAACTCTTCTGGTCCTTTCCTGGCACTTGAAGACTAAATTGGTTCATTTTATCCCAGCCACCTAGTTTGCAGCTAATTAAAGAATGTGTTGCTTTCCCTTTGTTCCTAGAAACAACAACACATGATTATTAACGCTTGAACCTTGGATCCTACTGTGCCTGTAAAACAGCATGCTTCAAGATACTTGAGTATAAAGCTTCTGACCTCTGGATTGTTTTATAACATACACTGATGATTTCTCTATTCACCATAAGATGCAGCTTGATTTTCCAATTAAGTGGCTATTTGACACAATGCTCCCAGCTACCTGACAAACTTATGCTATCAGTTTCACTGACCCTCCCAGCTTCAAATGTCTATTTCCATCAATTTGAATGAAGTTCTGAAGACAAGCTAACCAAAATGCAGCATGGAGAAGAAATACAACATGCTTTAGGCATAAGAAATGCTTTGTAAATTCAAATCTAGGCACTATCAATCATGATTCCAACTTACTCTATCCAGACATCCATGCTTTTACATTCTCCTAGTTTGACATTTCCAAAGTTTGTCAGTTGTGACACCTCGAGACCTTCTTTGTCTTTCATTAGTACATTTTCACATGGTTCATTCATATTGATTCCTTGGGTTAGAGATACACTGTAGGAGAAGAAATACAGAATAAGAACCAGAGTTGCATCACAACAATCTATATACAATAACAAATATATTTCAAACTATTGAATGTGCTTCCTGCAGCTGCAGCACTGTTTTACTAAAAGTGGCAAAATTCTCAAAAGTGATCTGAATGGATACAAATATATGTAAGACCTATGCTGACTTAAAAGAGACAGCGTCTTCCTTACAGTGAGGACCAGAAAATTGGAAGATTAAGAGTATACTTGTAAAGGCATACTTTCTAAAGAGTTGCTATCATGAGCAATTTCATCAGAAGGAAAACAACAGCAGGTTGCCACTTGGGTGCAATACCTTTTGTGTAATATAAAGCTCTTCAAAACAAGCTTGCTGTTAAGAGGATTCCTAGTTATCTATGGTAACTAGAAATTTTCCCTGCAAAACTAAGTGGAGACTCAGCAGCGTAGGTTTATGGCCTATTTCCAAGCAGTAGTTTACTCTTTAAAATAAGAATTCTTTAGCTGACAAATTAAACTCTGCTGCCATGTAATGAATGATCACTGAGCCAACACCTGGATAGTGGATGACTCATGCTTGAGTTTTCAGGAGTATTAGCTTCATGTATCTTTTTTGTTCAGATCAAAACCCAGTAAATCAAGGTAGTGACCAATGATCACAGATTGGCTGGATTCAGACAAAGACCACAGGATTGGGCTGACTTCTGATGCCCTATCCCCCTGTAGCAGCCACAGAAAAAACAATGCCAGCCACTTTATAATATGACCCTGGAGGAAAAAGGGGAATTCTAGTGGGCAGGAAGAATGGGAGAGATGCCAGGATACAAGAAATCTTATAGCTTCTCCAATCTTGGCCCAGCCCCTTTCAGAGTATCCTCTCCAGACAGGCCCAATGGCCAATCCAAAGGGGAAACATTAAAAAAAACCAATTATTAAAAAATATTTTGCTGCTCCTCTTGCTCTGCTGACAGGAGCCCCAACATTCAATACATGGAAAGCTCCAAGATCAGAGGGTTCTAACTAATTTCAAATGTCACTAGAACATTATGGCACAAACTCACATACCAGGTACTAGTATGCTTTGCTGTTGCAGAAGACTACAAGGTCTCATGTGGATAGATAGATGAGACCTCCAGTTATTATACAAGCTTCCAAATATTAGGTGGTTCTATTCACTTATAGCTAAATACAATGCATGTAATTTTATCTAAAGTATGAGTCAACTTTTATTACCCATTTGTGTCTGCTGGAGCCATACAGAGTGCTCTCCATATATAACAAGACTGATTACTCTCCACAACAACCACATTGACCAGATCATGCTTCTTGGGAAAATAGCCATCAGGAAGTCTCAGGAAATCCAGAGTGAAAAATACACTGTCATCTACTACACCAATTTTTCCACACACACTGGAAATATGAACCTGTAACAATTGTATTTATTTTATTTATTTAGAAAATTTCTATGCCACCCCATTTGCCGAAGCCTTGGGGCGGCTGACAAAACATCAATTAAAATATAATACATTAAAAATATAAAATGAATTAACAATATAAAATAAGTCGCCCTGGCCAAAGAATAAGGAAATAATATTAGCAATTAAAATGACGCTTAAATAAAAAGGTCTTCACCTGGTGCCGAAAAACAAATAATGACGGCGCCAGGCGGACCTCTCTGGGGAGCGCATTCCATAGATTGGGCGCCACCGCAGAGAAAGCCCTCCTCCGAGTACCTACCCTCCTAATTTCCTTCATGGAGGGTTCCCGGAGAAGGGCCTCTCCCGCAGATCTCAGGGGGCAGGCGGGCGTATATGGACGTAAGCGCTCCTTCAGGTAGCCAGGACCCAAGCCGTTTAGGGCTTTACAGGTCATCACCAACACCTTGAATTGGGCCCGGACTTCAATGGGAAGCCAGTGAAGCTGACGGAGGACTGGAGTCATGTGAACATAATGCCCAGTCCCCATCAGCAGCCTGGCAGCTGTATTTTGAACCAGTTGAAGTATCTGGACCGTCTTCAAGGGTAGCCCCACGTAGAGCGCGTTACAGAAGTCAAGACGGGAAGTCACCAACGCGTGTGTCACTGTCGCCAGGCAGTCGTACTCCAGGTAGAGGCGCAGCTGATGGATCAGCCGAAGCTGAAGGAAAGCACTCCTCGCCACTGCTGTCACCTGAGCTTCCAGTGAAAGCTCTGGGTCGAGGAGCACTCCCAAGCTGCGGACCTTCTCCCTAAGAGGGAGTGCAACCCCACTCAGGACTAGGTTCAATTCACCCTCTCTGAAGCCCAATCCGCCAACCAACAGGACCTCCATCTTGTCTGGATTGAGCTTCAGTTTATTGGCCCTCATCCAGCCCATTACCTCGGCCAGACACCGGTTCAGCACAGCCACCGCCTCACCTGGATTGGTGGAAAACTAGAGGTAGAGCTGGGTATCATCAGCGTACTGATGATTCCACAGCCCACACCTCCTGATGACCTCTCCCAGCAGTTTCATGTAGATGTTAAACAGCAAAGGGGACAAAATGGACCCCTGCGGTACTCCATGGCATAGCTGCCATGGTGCAGAGCCATAGTCCCCCAGCACTACCTTCTGGAATCGGCCATTGAGATAGGAGTGGAACCACTGCAAAACAGTGCCTCCGACCCCCAATCCCGCTAGCCTATCCAGAAGGATACCATGGTCGATGGTATCAAAAGCCGCTGAGAGGTCCAGAAGAACCAAGAGAGACACACTCCCCCTGTCCCTCTCCCTGCACAGGTCATCGTACAGGGCGACCAAGGCAGATTCAGTACCGTACCCGGGTCTGAAGCCAGAATGAAATGGGTCCAGATAATCAGTTTCATCCAAGAGAGCTTGGAGTTGTCCCGCCACCAGCTACTCCAACACCTTGCCCAGAAACGGGATGTTGGCCACTGGTCTATAATTAGTGGCCATCTCTGGATCCAGTGACACTTTCTTCAGGACCAGTCGGACTACCGCCTCCTTTAAAGGGGCAGGTACCTGACCCTCCCTCAGAGAAGCGTTAACCACTTCCAAGATCCAGATCCCAATCCCATGCTTGGCATTGTTTATTAACCAAGATGGGCAAGGGTCCAATAGGCAAGTGGTGGGACGTACTCATCCAAGCATCTTGTCCACATCATCAGGCCGCAATAACTGAAATTCATACATTAATTTTGGACCAGACGGCAGCATTGGTGTCTCCCCAGAAACTTCTGAGTCACTAATAGAGTCTAGCTCGTGACGAATCCGAGCGATTTTCTCCCTGAAATGCTTGGCAAAGTCGTCACAGCGGGCCTTCGAGGGTGGAACCAGATCTTTCTTAGGGCCAGGGCGGACCAGGCCTTGCACCACTCGAAAAAGCTCCATCGGATGGCATTTTGAGGAGGCAATGGAAACGAAAAAGAAATTCTTTTTCGCCGCCCTCACCGCCACAGCATAGGCCTGATAATGGGCTCTCAAGTGTGTTCGGTCAGATTCATCCCGTGATCTCCTCCACCTACGCTCTAGCCATCTCCCAGCCTGCTTCATCGCCCGCAATTCAGGTGTATACCAGGGGGGAAGAGTGGGCTCTGCCCGGCTGGAGAGGACGCTTAGGAGCGATCGTGTCAACAGCCCTGGTCATCACCCCGTTCCACAGTTCAACCAGAGCCTTGACAGGAGCACCAGTCTTGTCAGCCGGAAACTCCCCCAGGGCCTTCAGGAATCCATCCGGATCCATCCGGCTCCGGGGGCAGACCCACACAATTGGGTACGCACCCTTACAGAGGGAGAGGCCGCTCTCGAGCACAAACCTCACCAGGAAGTGATCTGGCCATGACAGGGGTGTCAAACATAAATTCCTCACCCTCAGACCACCCTCTTCCTGCCCCGTCGAGAAAACCAGGTCCAGAGTGTGTCCACGTTCATGGGTCGGGCCGGTGACATGTTGAGACAGCCCTATGGCCGTCATGGAGGCCATGAAGTCCTGAGCCGCCCCGGTCAGACCAGTCTCAGCATGGAGATTGAAGTCCCCAGGACCAACATCCTGGGGGTCTTCAACACCAGGTCCGAGACGATCTCCATCAGCTCAGGCAGGGAGACTGTTGGGCAGAAGTGTGCACGGAACACCAACAGAATCCCCAATCTGTCTCCGTCGCCCAACACCAAGTAGAGGTACTCCAGCCCTGGCCTCGAAGGGACCGGAAGTCCCGTGAGGGAAATGGAGGCTTGGTAAACCAAAGCAACCCCCCCTCCCCTCCCCTCTGGGTGTGAACGGTGCTGAACCAGATACCCGGGCGGGCACATTTGAGAGAG